GATTGATTTATGATTAGAAATCCTGAAATTTTAACCAAATAGATTCGAATGGGAATCCGGTTGGCGTAGATGAATATGATTGAGTGCGAAATCCTCCGAGTTCGCGAACTTCTTGCTTGCATTACATCGGAATTATGAAGACAATATTATGTCATGCACACTTCGCGTAATGTATATTTGTCTAATGGAAACTCGTTTTCACTGAGAAATATATGCGAAGCTGCTCGCCTATATTTAAAAGCTTCGCTCATCTGTAGAGAAATTTTTTAGCGATACGCACGTACGTTCGTTCGACCATTAAAATCACAACTAACGAATAAAAAACGTGACGTTTTAAAAAATAATTCGCAGATTTATGATATATCTAATCAAGTAATCGAATCAGTACTGCCGGATAAAAACTGTTATATAGAGAGATCGAGTTTTGATCTAGAAACCCGAAGGGATATCTTTAGTACTCGAGAAACTTGGAGCGGAAGCGGAAGAAAGACGAAGCGAGAAGTGGTTGAATCAATATCGTTAAAATTAATACTGTTAAATTAATCGCGTGCCGCTAGAGAATTTCTGAATTTCGTTAGACGTTACGATAGCTGCCAACAGAGAATTCTAACGGACAGAACTCATTTGGGAACTGTCAAAGTCGAATCATTCCGTTCTATTACCGATAATGATATTTATCATTTATCCTCGACTGCTATAATGGAATTGAGAAAGTTTAACAACTTTAAAAGCGACATCGATGTGTCCCATGTTATTCTTTATCTTAATTATGAAAAAGAAATAAATTGTGCGTAAATGAAAAAATTCATTTCGAGTTTACAATAAAATTCAATAGCAATACAAAATATTATATATCGTTATTATGCACGTTACTTTCTAAATTTGAATTAGTGGATACTCACTGATTATCCAGTGACGTACTTGGCATTCGATAATCAGTGAAATTCAACTAAAAAAGAAAGTTTGAGCATTATACAATTAAAATATCGATATTTGCACGTTAATTTAAGGGGAGGTTCTACTTTGGAGGACAAAAAAATCGATTTTTTTTTACATTTTTTGCATCTCTAAAATGTGTAGAATATGCCTATAAAAGGATTTTGTAATATTCAAAATGTTAAAACAATTTATGACTTGTTAAACCGGATTTTTTGCACCGGTCGAAAATCAAGTGAGCTTAACGATATTACGCGCAAAACAAGCAAGAATCGAAAGGAGAAAGGCTCAAATACAGCAAAATTTATTCTTCAAACAGAAGAGAAATTGACTTATATCAACAGGAATCGCTGATTAAACATAAGTTGCAAAATATTAACTAAAATCATTATCATAAAATTAAACTTTATTTTATCGCGTTTTTCTCGAATTCATGTTTTTTAAACTGGCGGGAAATATACAGCTTCAACCAATCATCCGATTGACATGAAGTTTTTTTCTACGAAAAACCGATAATTTTTATGGGGCCGTGAACCTAAAAATGCCATAAATTTTCCAAAATAACTATTTCTTTGAACAGATTGAAAGTGAAAAAAAGTTCGTGAAAATTGACACTTAATTTCAAATGGCTGCCATTCTGTAAATTAAAAAATTTTTCAAATAAAATGAGGCCTGTTCATGGCCTCACAAATTTAATACATTTTAATAATTAGTTTATTTGTCTCAGATAAACTGTCTACAGTCAAGATTTCCCGCCAATTGGCCATGTACGCACTCTGCACGCTCTGATGCACCCGTAGGCTACAGCCGCAATTTTCTATATTTCTAAAAATAAAAAATTTTTTTTATATGTGAAAATATAAAAAACATAATGCAAAAAGCATTATTTTGATATCTCTTTTCTTTCCTTATGAAAAAAATTGGTAAAAAATACATCAATTTTGGACTTCTAGACTAGAACCTCCCTTTAAATCTTCCAATAAATGTATTGGATTTATGCACTAAAACAAGGTTAGTTAGAGCACATAAAGGTTAACTAGATTAGGGATTTCACATTTCATTCACTGATTACCAGTAGCATAATTAGCACTGATAATTAGCAGTGATTATCCACTGATTCAGATTTAGAGCATATATAAATTCTTTATAATATTTTAATATACTAATAGCAAATCAATGATCAATTTTATTTGTGAGATTAATCAATTTATGATTGCAATGCAAATTCGACAACAATCGTACAGTTTACATAATTGAAAGATGTATTTTAAATTTGTAGGAGGAGACCGGGGCTAATTGGACACCTTTTTTTTCAATTGCAACTTTCAATAACAAAATAAACGATTTTAGTCAAATGATTATTAGCGTTTTATAGAGTGATTATAAGACTACAAGATGGCAATAAAAAATTTTGGTGTTTGCAATTTCATTTCATCCATATACACAAAAAATGATGTGATTCGGAAAATGAAATCTCAAAAATTACTTTTGACTATCGAAAACACGTTTCATTACTTAAATATAACAACGCGGCACCTAAACTAACCAAGCTTCGTTGGTAAAGAAAACACACAAGATGCTATCTATAATATAAATTGGGAATTCATAAGATATATTTTTGCCATTCAAATGCCAGCTTAGTCCCGGTCTCCCCTATAGAAATATTAAGTACAAATTATCAGGTACCAATATTTGATCTCGATCGTATTTAACAGTTTCTTACTTATTTGATTTATTCATATAGCAATCTTGTTTAACTTAGGACTGATTGACTTTCGGATAAATTATACGATAATATACCTCTAATAGGAAAAAAAAGAGTGAAAGAGAAAGAGAGAACGAAGCAAAAGCAAGAGAGCGAGTAAATTAAAATTTATCGAAAAGTAGAACAATTCAATCTCAGTATTGTTAATATTATTTAACATTTAGTTACTCTCTTAATTAAAAAAATGTGTTTATATACGATATACAGTTATACATATGATTTTTATATATATTATATATGATATACATTCAATATTTATATACATTTGCATATGAATTTTTATACGGATACTCTTCAACATTTAATTTATCGCTATCTTGAAAATCCTGAAATCGATTCCGATGATATTAAAAAAAAAAGACAGAATCTACACACACATATATATATAAAAAATTCCAACAAACTGTTCAAATATTATCGATGATAAAATATATAATACGATCTTTTGTAATATTTAAAGAGGATGTATATTTAAATATTTTCTACACCGCAACACACAGAGATTATGGACAATAACCTGTAAATGTAACATTACGTGTGTTAAACGTGGGCCGAGATGTTATCACTAAGCATAATCGCGGTGCGTCGCCGTTCTGATACGATACCAAAGGTCAACAACTGTTCCTGTTAGACGATGTTAATCCTCAATCGAGACACGGGTTCGTGCTCGCAGGGCGTATTCGTCCGGACACGTCAGGTCCACTCCACTTAGCTCCCGCCCGCACAGATAAAGGCGTCACGATTATGATAAATGCGAGTTCCGAGCACGCGGGAGTTAGGTAGCGCTTAGCACATGTAACGGGCGAAGCGGCGAATTTTATCTCGCCGCGTGTACACGAGGCCGAACATACGATTTAAACGTTTTCCCTTCGCCTCCTCCCCCGTATCCATCTGTAACGTAGTAACCCGCCAAATTACAAGTTACACGAAGCTCGAGCCGAGATGTTAAATGCTGCTGCAAGTTCCTACCCCGATACGCACGCGATCGCGCAACGGTTACAGTTTTTGCGTTCTAATTCCGTCGCGATTCCACCCCGTTCGGGATTTCCAGATCAATCGGAGCTTTCCGGAGCGCAAAACAAATTTACTTTGCATCGAGGACATTTTCGGAATTCTCTTGCACGGGAAAACGTTCCTTTCCGTAAAAGGAAGCCGAGCGCTATTATTAAATCAGAACGTAAGATCCATCGATGAGATACCGGGAGACAAATGCGCCGTATACGTGTTATTAACATCGAAATTCCGGAAGGTACGTCGACGCAAAATGTTTCACGTATCCTCACGCTTGTTAGTTATTATTTGATTAGGAGCCAATTAGAACGCATACATACACACGGGCGTTCCATTTTCATAGCGACCTTACATCCACGTGTAAATTAGTAATTACGCATGTAATATAATGTCCCTCGTAGCTGTAAATTGTTTCTTGGGGGACACAGAATGCTGTAACAGCGTGGGCAAGAATGTACGTAACATTGCTCATAGTGACCACCCCTATTTTTACCACTCGGATTCGTGTCATGGTTTATTTATGAACATGAATTTTTCACAAAATGTTTCTACGTCATAATTTGTCAGTATTTTTGCAAATATTATTGAATAAATTAATTTTTTTGCGTCAATTCTTGTTTTTTAAATGTTGCAACTGTTTTTTTGTTTTAGTAAATCGAGTCCGCTTTGGACCAAAGTTTATGTCAAATTTTTTAATTTTATATCGTGCATTTTCATATTTGTGTATTTCAGCATACCTACTTGATGTGTGTCAGAACACGGATATTCTCTCTTAAAATCTTTTTCGTATCACACGATACGTTAAAATTATGAATAAAATTCTATTCCAACACAAATTATATTAGTTTGCCGAGAAGATCTAAATTACACGAATTTCATGTAATATGCTCATTTGCTACATGAGTACTCGCGAGAAGAATACTGCAAACAAATAATTTGTTACACCATCCAAAAACATCATGTAGACGTAGCTAAATTTTAATCGCACTCCAGAATAAATCCGCGAATGAACGAAATATACTGAATTTCGAAATCCGTCGTAACGGACATAATATAGTCGAAAGCGAGAATGCGTTGATATTGCGAAATGGAACAACACAACACGTATCTCGCATCTGGAGAAGCTGCGTCACTGGTATCGGTCTCTCGGTCAGTATAATGATAATTTATGCGTAGGATAAAGTGCGCGACATCTCGGCGACGTAATAATTTATTCCGCGAAGAGATTTCGCGGTCTAGTAGATTAAAGAACGGAACGATAAGACAACCAGACGTTTGCGATGCAACGACAACGCAACAGTGACGACGTGAGCGGACACGTCTCAACGCGACCAATCATAATTATTATTCACGAGCTCAATTAGTGTGTCACGTCGTTAACGAGGTTGGCCGCGACGGTAGCAGCCAGCCATTCTGGAGCCGCAAGCCTCGATTTAACAATGTCGTGCCGCCGATCCCGGCGATGGTAACGGCGCCTTTGAAAGTTAATTAATTTATTGTTGAGCTGTGTTCGGTCTAACAAACTGTCGCCGGCACTTTTATTCCTCGCGACCGACACGCTGCGAGAGCGAAGCCTTAATTCCGCTTCATTCATCATAACATCCTAGCAGGTGCGATTAATCCAGTGGAAGCTGAAACAAGCGCGTGATTTTGCTCTGTGCATAATAAATAACAAAAATAGTACCCACGTTCTCGAGATCGATACTGTGGTGCGAATTGTGGAGATTTATTATCGTAGGATAAACTGAAATCTATCAATAATTTGCGCGACGTTTAAAAGAATCTCGGGGTAACATTTAAAAAGTTTAATAACAATAATAATAACATTTTAATATAAAATAATAAAGTTGGATAAAAAAAAAAATATATATAGAATGGAAATGAAATAATAATATAAAATATAATTCAAATATTAATTTATTGTTATACAGGATTGCCATAAATTAATCCTTATCCTAAAATTCCATAACTTTCCTTGATTTCCAGACAAAATTTCATAATTTTCCCTGGTTTTCAACAATATCTTAAAAATTTTTTACAGTTCGTCCTGATTGGAAACCATCAAATATTTTGTTGAGAAATCAACTTAAATTACTATTAACGTTGCTGATATTATTTATATGTAATTTTTAAGTTGATAGTATTCTAAAATTGCGTAGATGTGACGTATACAGAGTCCCATTTTAAAGGATCCACTCAAATGTCTCAAAAACACTACGTTAAATCGAAAAATGGTTCAGACAAAAGTTTTATGATTTCGAGGGGGACATGAGATAGTACCATTAGTTTGACCTTAGGTGGCGTTGTCAAGGTCAGAGCAAGGTCATTTTGAATTTTTTAAATGGAATTCCCCAGTTTTCATCACATATTCTTGTAGCTCACTTCGAGAGCTTTTCAAAACACTATAATTAAGTTCATTTTCATTAAGTACTTTTCCAGTTATAAGACTTGTAAGTTATAGTCGGCACCGCCGGCATTAGCATTACTCAAGGTGTCTGATCGACAGCTAAAACCTCTTGAATGTTCAAGATCAACCTGAATAACATTTGTCAAGATCAAGGTCATTGGAGGTTGTTCCTCTTATTTCTTTTCATTTTTGCACTAAAAATTCATTTCTACGAAAAAATGAAAATAAGAAGTACAACCTCCAATTTCTCGATCTTGACAAATGTTATCCAGGTGATGATCTTGAACATTCAAGAGGTTTTAGCCGTCAATCGGACACCTTGGATAATGCTAATGTCGGCGGTACTGTAACTTTCAAGCCTTATAACTCGAAAAGTATTATACTTAATGAAAATTAACTTAATTATAATGTTTTGGAAAGCTCTCGAAGTAAGCTACAAGAATACATAATGAAAAATGAGAGTTCCATTTAAAAAATTCAAAGTGACCTTGCCCTGACCTTGACAACGCCATCCAAAGTTAAACCAATGATACCATCTTATGTCCCCCTCGAAGTCACAAAACTTTTGTCTGAAACATTTTTCGATTTAACGTAGTGTTTCTGAAATATTTGAGTGGATCCTTTAAAATGGAACACCCTGTATATTTCTTTAAAGCAAAGAATTTTAATTTTTTAGAAAATTTTGTAAAATTCTTTGATTTTTCTTCGATTTCCAGTTTTATGTCAACCTTATTATGTAATAATAGAATGTTATTTGAGTATATATATTGTAAATTAATATTAAGTCATATTTCATATTTCATTTTGAAAATCCTCACGTTTCTGTGGTCTACCCTATTATTAATATTAACTTTCAAGTAAGTAGATAGGATGACCACAGTGCTCCAAGCATAGTTTGCTAAATATCCTTATTCTAGAAAAGAGAAATAAAAGTCCAGATGTCTTAGAAGTTTTAAAGTTCATTATTTTTGCATTTCTCTACCTCATAAAAGTATAATTATAATGTAAATTTCACATAATACACTAGAAAAAATATAACTTTAAAAATAAAATTATTTGTGAAACATTTTGAGCATTCATATCAACTTGCGTATCTTTAGACGATTTTTTTACTTGAAAGTTAAATAAGTAATTATAAGTCATTTTTGCAAACATATATGAATATAAAATTACGGTGCGAATTGCTGTAAAGTTCGCTGCGACAATTGGGATCAGAAAAAGAAGTTACTCCGGATAGGAGAGAGTGCGTTCAAAAAATGGAAAGTCAAAGGAATAATGGAATAGACGGAATAAATTATGTCCGCGACTCAGCGTCCGCAACTTTGTGAGCCACGCGGCAAATTACTTTCGTCTATCGATCCCGCACGATCTCCCGCTACGCGCGCTCACGCTATAATATAATACAGTTCGGCTATCGTTGGTATTAATAATTGCTCCGCTGCAATATCACACATGCGCGCATCCCAATCAACGCTCTCGTGAACTTCGCAGTACGCCGCGCGCTCCGACGACAGTCGAAATGATTATATTTGTCATGTGGCTCTAATGTCGGTGATAGAAGTGCAGTGTTATGAACAACAAGCCGCGAGATTAATGTATATTGATTGCCGCAAATGCCGCACCACGCATATCCATCATTACGACTAACAAAAATAACGATGACATTAAATATTTTTCCGCAACGCATGACAATTTTGCTTCCAGCGCGTACCAAATATAATTTTAAAACAAATTTCAAACCTAAAACTTTATTGATTAAACACGATCTTATTCCTTTGACGTCACGTTTCTGTTACGTACGTATACAACACACTGAATATTGTGTAAAGATATTGCATAAAAATAAACATATTTATTATATATTTTAATAATAAAAGTTGAGAAGGACTACGAATCATAAGAAAATAATATTTAAATAAAGGATATAATATAATTAATAAGAACTAAACAAAAAATAATATTATACAAACGGCGTTTCCGAGCCCGATCGGTCATTCTCAATGTTAAACATATAAAAGTGATAAGTATATACATATTTAAATTATAAACGGTTTAAAACTGATAGATAAAAAGATGAAAAAATAAGTACAGACTCTTTTAGTGAATGTATACTTAATCGCATTCTGTCGTTACAAGCTGATATTAAGTCCAAAACAATGATATAGCGCATGTCATGAGATGTCAATATAAAAGGCTCCTTATTTAACAAAGTCATTGTGCGTAAGAATATTCGTTACAGAAGTATCGCAATTATAGTAGTATGAAGTCAAAGTCTATAAGAACGGTGAGACAATGAGTACATTATTATAAAAATATAAAGATCTGAGAGCAATTAATGTCTATTTATAAAATCGTATATGGATAATTTGATTGTATGATAGATAAAAAGTTGAATTAAGTTACCTTTAAATTTATAAAGTATATTATAGTGTCCAAAAATAAAAAATCCTTAGTATCTGTCATAATACAAAAACTTTTTGTGTCGATCGAAATTTATATATTTTTTTAAATATATTTTTTATATATTTTATATATATTTTTTAATATATTTTTTATATGTTTTTTATATTATATATTATATATTTTTTTCATCGAAATGCCAGATATTAAGAAATACAACAGTAAGAAAACAATGTATGTATTTTTATTAACAAAAAAGTTATAGCATATAAAATGAAATAAAGTCGGATGTGCTATTTTGAAAGTGGTACCGAAGAATTAAATATTTAATTGACTTTTCTCTCGATCTCTTTCCTCTTCTTTTATTTTCTCTCTGTAATTGCATTCGATAAAAATATAATTTATATGAAATTTTAGAAGAGCGTTATTTCGAAAAATAAATCTGTCACAGATGAAAACGATTCGAAATATTATAATATTTATAGAGCCGTAAATTATACATGGCATGCGATATATCACGAAGAAATATCAAGAAAGTGCTCTTTCATATAGAACAACCGCGGTTTGAATTTCTCTCTTGGGCCAACGTAAACAGAGACGACTGGAAATTATTTGTCTAGACACGCGATATAGGCATTGTAAACGCTCGTTACAGGTCAGACGAAATTTCTCGCCGAGTAAGGTCGTTCCGAAATTTTGCCTGTCTGACGATTACATTGTCTGCGGGAAATTAAATTTCCTTGTCAAAACTTGTACATACATGACTGTTTAGATTATCTTTGTCAAAACGCATTTATATTAACTATTTCAAAGCAGCACATAAATATATGTAGCTGATTTTTTAATTAAAAATTGAATTAAGTATTACACAGTAAAAACATTTTGTATTTGTGTTGGAAACGGTCCTCATATTCTTGTTAAAATTTTGTTGTTGTTAAAATTTTGTGTTGAATTTTTTAATATATTCGAGTGTTAATTTAACACAATATGATTGTTATTTAAATAGTTTGTGTTAAATTCACTATTTCTTAATGTCAAAATAATACAATTTATGAATATAAGTGAACAAATAATATAAAAATAATGTGTTTTCAACCGTAAATTCTAAGACAAATAAAGTATGTGTTAATTCAACACATCATAAATATTAATTTTATTGAAAAAATACGCTTTCACGATTTCTTTAATTGTGTCAGTATTACCTTTTTTATGTTTTTCTTCTTAATTATTTATGTTACTTTCTAATATATTTATCTTGTGTTAAATTAACATATAAATTAGAGTGGATCATTTCGGACACGCGAATTGTGTTAAATTTAACACAAATTTCCAACTTTAATTATAAATTTAGAAATTTAGACTTTAATTATCAATTAATTCCGCAACGGGCAAATATTTATCTTTTTAAAATATCTATTTTAATATTTCTTTGAAATAATATTAGCATCATAATACCGTTAGATGGATGAAAGGAGACTGAAAACATTATATAAAGGTAAAACTCACATAGAAGTTAGAAAGAAGTATATTGTTACTCAGTGCTTATTGCCAGTACTAAAGACTTAATGAAAATAATCTAGCATTCTTTATATTGTATTTTGTATTTTCAAAAGTTTGCCTGAAGACTCATTTCATCGTCTTAAATACCTCCATCACTTTTTCATTAAGTAGATGAATATTATTAATAAAGAATATATTATAAAGTGCATTGATTCCTGTGAATATTTCGTTGCAACATTGCACACAGAACATAAAGCTTAACAGGACCCACTACCTAAAAGCTCTTCTCGCGGCGGTATGCGAATTATTAACGACGTTACCTCGAACGTTAAGTTGCGCATCGAGTAATTAATTTGAAGCACGATCGAAGCAGAGGCGAAAAGTGATGGTAGAATAGGGAGAGAATTTTGATGTAGCGAATTTTTTTGCGCAGGAGAAACATGAAGTAACCGACAGCGACGCATCTCGTTGCCCCGGAGGGCTCCCCAGTGTCTGGAAGCAAAAGATCGGTTGACACGGAGAAATACGGCATGGATTTCCCGAAGCGAGAATGGAGCCACAGGCTCAGTCTTCGTGGCAGCCGTAGGACTCATGAGGTAACCATCCCATCGAAAATTTTCACAGTTTTTGTAGAATGCGAACGAACTCGTAAACGAAGCGTGCACCAGAGAAATTAATGTATTAAATCGAAAACACATGTCGATATCTCGTATCCTTCAACATTTCGTCGTTCAAAATGTCAGCGACGTCGAAATTAAATTGCCACGAGAAAATCATACCGTAACTAAATTTATTAACAAGATATTTTCCCTTGTTACATTTCGTATAATTGAACGCGTTAAGTATAATCGGTCCAGTTCTTGGAAATTGCAATTTCTGGAAGTTTATAATTTCGGAAGAAATTATTGAACCATTAACACAACACACAACACACTCTTTGTATTTTTAGTTATATAGTTGCTTTCTACTTGACTGCATGTCATGCCGCGATATGCTGGCGATTACGCATAAAAGAGAAAAATAAAGACTGCGAGTTTCATGCAAGGGATGCATGCCCTTGCATACATTATTCATAAACGGGTTTCTCGGTAAGACTGAACGTTGTTCGCGTTGCTGCCCGATATCGTATAACGTTGCTCAGGCATACAAAAATTATGTTTTTACATATCGTCACGAAATATCGTAGTTGCGAAAAGGTAAATTAAACGAATGCATCTGTATGCATTATTTCGACGTAATTGCGTAAGTGTGTTACGTTATATATCTTCCAGCATAGATAATTATGGATTGACATAAACATATAATTTAATCATTGCACGTATGCACATTTATAATAAAATTTATATTATTATTACTACACGAATCGATATTAATACCGATAATACCAGACATATAGTTATTCAGAAGCGCAAAATTATTTTATGTACGATGATGTAGCATAATAAATGTACATTCGCATTAAAGATATATTATATAGATATCTACTTATATTTTTTATGAAATAACAAAATTATGAAAAGTTACAAACTTTTCTATATTATATATTTGAGTGTAATACAAAAAATTGCCGACAATTTAGAACCTGGATTATTTCAGTAAAAATAAACATGTTTTTAAAAAACAATTAATATAAAATGAGAGAGAAAATTTTCATTTAAACTATAAAATTATATTGTTGAATATTTTAAATATTGACCTTTTTTTTTATTGAACTGTTTCAAATATATATATATAACATTCATTTTTTATGGAAAGTATAAATTTTCAATTCCAGTCACTTTTTGCAGAAACTATTTAGGTACATCTGACGCCTATCTCAAAATGAGGTGTGCAGCACCAGATATAGATCTCTATACGGAATTGGAAATCCGATATTTCGTCAGTTTATTAAGCGAGAAGGAGATATATGTTCATTTTGACTGAAGAAGCATTATTTTTCTATCAAATCGAAATTAGATTGCGCACGTTGCAGTGGTATTTTCAATTATTGTATCGAAAGCGTCATTATCGAAGCGAAATTTCATTCTAAAGTCATCTCCATCAAAATTACGAAATTTCTTCATAACGATATAAAATGGCGAAGGCGATTATCGATCTCTCGCTGACATAACTCTCTCATTACTAGCTACAGTGATATATTTGGTGGTATAACAACGTGCCAGGTGGCGTGTTATCAACCCTTCGCGGAACACACATTGCACGCATATGTTAGGAACACGTCGATGGAGAATGGAGGCAAACGGTGCCAACTAAATACCCCGAGTGTTTAGAATTAGATCCAGTTTCGTCAGGAGACAACGAACGCCCATTTTCAGTCAATTTTATCGTTGCGTACACACGCTAAGTGGCATCCGTATTTCAAGAGGTGTCATCTCGTTAATTTTCGTCTCGCAGCATTTCGAAGCGCTTGAAGCGATCCGTGCCGGCAGCAACTCTCGCTCGTAAAAAGATGACATCGTAATATTTTAACATTATGATAAGATAAATATTATGATCGACAAACTTAATCAATTAAGAGCGATTTTAATTCAAAACCACACACATGTACACTTTTAAATCTATAGTGTCAATTTAACGCTATATAGGTTCAAATTTAACTAATATTTTAGTATAAAATAATAGTTAAATTTGAAACTATATAGCGTCAAATTATATAAAATAACGATATATTGAGTAGCAGCAGTAGCGATTTAAATTAGATTAAATTTGAATACATACAGATTTAACAGTGTATGCTAACCATTATGATTCAGGATTGTCACAAATTCTTCAGCCCAAAATTCCATGACTTTTTCCTTGACTTTTAATAATAGATTTCTATTTCAAAATTTGATGTATTTTTGTCTTGATTTGGGAACCATTAAATATTTTATTGAGAGAGCAATTTAACATAGCAATGTAAATTACTATCAATATTGCCGACACTGTTGACGTTTTTAATTTAATTTTCCAAATAGTTTTGTAAAATTGCCTGACTTTTTCTATGATTTCTCTGAACGTTTTCAATTTTTCTGACAATTTCCTAATTTCCGAGATTTTCAGTTTTGTGGCAACCCTGTAATCATTATCCTAAATTGCAAGTTGTGGAATCCTTTAATTCTTTGTCAAAGAGAATGAAATACCGTAAAAAAGCTCATTTCACGTATTCATGATTTGACAGATCAAATCAAATGCACGGCAGAACAGATTGCTATAACGAATTCGAATGCAACGGTGCGTACCAATGCACATTAAAGGCTGTCGTACGCAAATTGACATAAAGGCGTATGCATAGTAATACTGTATTATCATACATAAGCAGTTGGATCAGCAAAATATATATGCGCTCGGCATAACTTATCGCATTGTCTGGTAGAGAGAATACACACGCTGAGCATTTCATCAATCAAGACACTTACGCTTTTACATGCAAATGAATTAGTATGCAACAAGCTGTAATTGGTGCGCATTACTCAACTAAATACGCTATTAAAACCAAAAGTTTATTTATACAGGCTGACAATCGAGAAATTACCGAAACTAAAGCTATATGTTTCAAAATTTACCAGTGTTGAAAATCTATAGTCACGTAACATATAAATATAAGTTTTCAGCACTGGCAGTGAATTTTGAAACATAATCTAATTGTTATTTTATAACGAGTAGATAAAATAAAATAAATTGAATACGATACTGTAGAAAAAAAACTCGTCATTTTTACTAGCCATACTGCAAAAGCAATATACAGGGTGTAACAGAAATAACGCCCACTAATCATACAGTGCTATTCCTAATAAAGACTAACAAGGGAAGTTTTACAACTGTCCGGAACCGATTTGATTCTCCATGAAATATGTTGTTAAACACGAAAATCTAAGAGAGACACGTATTTTTTTATACGTGCCCTAACTCATGTTTAAGGGGTTTATCAATACCGTTTTTTTTTTCAAAGGGGTGTTAAACATAAGTTAGGGCATGTATAAAAAAATACGTGTCTCTTAGATTTTCGTGTTTAACAACATATTTCATGGAGAATTAAATCGGTTCCAGACAGTTGTGAAACTTCCCTTGTAAGTCGAAAAGTCCTCTACCATTTTGCAATTTTCTCAATAGTTAACGAGATATTAATTTCGAAATATTGCCGAGTAAACGGATAAAATCGATGTATAAGACAATTTTTAAATATCTTTCCATGTTCTTTGTGAAATATTTTGAAGATTTTTCTTAAAGAACTCTTAAAGATATCTTAAAGCTATCTTATACGTCGATTTTAAACATTTTGCTCATTGGATACCTAACTAAAAAAAAATATTGCGAAAATTGCAAAATGGTAGAGGACTCTTCGTCTCAGTTTTTTATTAAGAATAGCATTATATGATTAGTAGGTGTTATTTCAGTTACACCCTGTATAATATAAACTTGAAAGAAATTAATGTTATACGAGCTAACAATTCGGGTGGTTGCATGACTTAGTGATATATTTTCGAAATGATGACCGTGATGATCTGAAAGTGCTTTTCAACAAGAGATACAAATGGCATAATATAACACAGTAAATCATTTGATCTTTGTTTAACATTGGCAAACAACAACATGGTAATGATTCTGTATTACATTGTGTCATCCTTTGATGGAAAGCACTTTAAATTGGCACACTAAACATGACGTGTGAAAATCATTAACCCTCCGTTTGCAATCATATTACCTCCATTATCTGCAATTTGGGTGTTTCTTGTTCAAACCAATATTTTTATACTGTTCTAGGTTTTCAAAAAATGTGAAAAAATTCAGACTTACTTTATAATATCTCTATTACTAAATGGTTTTTTAATTCAAATGTTGAACTCTTTAATAAAAATTAAAATTTGAACAAAAGTAAAAGTGAAATTTGAGAGTTAAATTTCGCTTTTAAAAGATTTAATTTACAGATGAAGTGTTACATATATTTTCTCTAATATTAATAATTACGCGTTCAAAGAACTTCAGAAAAATTTCTTTCAATGAAAATAACACTGTCTATAACGAGATTTTCTAAACATATTGAATCTAATGTAATCACGTAATCAATTAAATGTTAGACTTCTATATATTTCTTTTTACAAGTCTGTAAATGTATATTTGTTAACGTTAACTTTCTTTTTCTTATGTTAACAAATTTAAAATAGGTTTTTTTTCTGTATAGTTATAACTTATTTCGTTCTACTTATTATTATACTCTTTAAATTCTTTGGAGTGAAATTTCACTCTAAAGAATGCAGAAAATTGAGCCAATTTTGAAAAAGAGTGACTCAATTTTCAATCTTTAAGAGTGAAATTTCACTCTTCAAAATAAGATTCATTCTAAAAGTTTTTTAGAAAGTAATTGATAGCTATTTAATTTCAACAACTTCCTGATTGTCATCCAGTATATTTTAATAAAAGACGTAAGATAAAGTCGTCTAATAATTATGGTGAGAATTTAAACAGAAAGCGACGGTATATAGCGGTGTTAAAATATTAAACCTGCCGTCGGAAATATAATGCGTAAAAAAATAAAGCTCGATAGACCGATTAAGTCGACGACTGATGTTAAAGGGGACGTTTAGGCGACGTTTATGGACCACTTACAAACGTGAAT